GGAGTGATTTGAAATACGATTCAACATATATGAGTTATGCCATTTGGTAAATATAGTGAGTCCGCGTTATGTTTTCATAATGTACAATCAAAATATCTTGTACCACAAATGTTTTTAGCCAATTTGACATATTACATTTTCATAATGCAAATATGAATCATTTCTGAAGTAAAATTGTGTTTGAATGTACTATTGAGGTTTATAATTTGCAACATAACTTGTTAAGTCTACAGTAGAAGACATTTCTTCACTTCAACTACAACTACGACAAGTTAAAGCAAAAGCAAAAGCAAAATAAACACAGATTTTTTACTCAACATTATGAACTCTCTAGCTGCTAAAGGGCCAGTTAAAAGAGATATCTTAAATTCGTGAGTGAAAAGAAGAAGTCAACTAAAAGGACGTTTCAAGCAAATGCTCAAAACCCCAACATACGAATATTATTGTATATATACTTCATTACCAACGGCTTTTCACAAATAGGCATATTCTAACATGACATATTATACAAAAACCCTTACAGAATTTATTTGGAGGGAAAAAGCCAAAACTAGCAACTTGTCATTTTCTAATTGGTTCTTATAAAATTTTAGCCAATTAGACCATGATAAGTGGCTAGTTTTGAGTTTTTCTCTCCAAATAAGCTCTATAAGGATTTTTGTATAATATATCATGTTAAAATGAGTTTTTAAATAAATATCTCAAACAAGAATTGATGCAATGTTTTAAAGCATGGCTGCAAGCGAACTGGGAAAGCCCAAATCAATAAAGGTATGTGAGCATCCAATTGAAAAAGAGAAGGAATTTTGAGAAAACGAACCCCTTTTAATCATACGTTTGCCTGATGCGAGCCTCAAAACACAAAGTCAATCAGGGCAAAACCCTTCTTTTTTCAGTGGAAATCGCCCTTGACTTTATTTTGAAGGTGGCATGGGGCATCTCAAATGAATTGATATGCATGATTTTGGAATCAAGTTCCCATGTATAAAGTGAAAGACAGAAATCAGGTTTGCATAGATTTTGTGCTTTACCATCCCAAGTTAATTAGCTAGACTTAATCAGCTAATTATTTGGGTGCCCTAGCTACACTCAGTGACAGTTATCAAATTATCATCCCAAATTAATGTTGATTAGCTATATGCTTGTTTCCAGTGACATATTTTGAGATCATTTTAGGATTTAGGAAAACAAGAATTAAATTCTTGCTCCGGATATAAGTGAATAAGTGCTCTATTACTGAAGCCAGAAGTCCCCGCAAATTACGTTGATCCTCAAAGCACAAGGAATGTTTGATGAAAATCAGTGGACATAGTGGTAGCATTGCAGCCTTCATAATATATATTCCATTACGACCAGCCAAAAGTGGTAAAAAGTGAGTAGAAAAAATGCAAATGAACGAGGCAAATTGATGAGAGGGGAGCTGAATATGAACGAATCCGAATTTCTCATTAGCTATAAATAGAGAGCTGAAAACATTGTATTGGCATCCCATTTGTAGAATATTAATCAAAATATTCAAAAGGAAGAGATGTCAAACATGAAAAAAGGAGCTTAGTTTGGTAGCCAAGGATGACTTGCCTGCAGCCTTCTAAAGAGGGTAATCAATCAAAATCTGAAAACCCCTAGTTTGGTCCTCAGGCAAGCACCTTGGCTAACTCGACAAGCTCTTTTATTTCATGCTAGACTCTCTCTTCCGCAAATTCCGTAGGCACTTGCATTGTACTTATATCCTAAATTGGTTGGCATCCTCTTAGTTTTTGCGGTCTTGTGATTTCAAATATAGTATCAGAGCTTTGATTCTGGGAGTTCTTGAGTTCGAAATCTTTAATTGTTGTTCTTATCATACATTTTTGGTTTGCAAGGTGCAAAGTAACGCTTAACTTGTTAGCTTGACATATATCGGCGGCCTATTTCCAAGTATAAGTTTTTGAGATCTAGTGGTTCTCTAACATATTGTCTGCAGGTTTAGGGGCATTATCGAAATGCGCCATTGGGTTTGAATTTTTCAATTTGCACGTAACATTTTAACATTCGATCAATTTACACTGTGAAATTGACAGAAGGTGTAATGGTGAAATTGACAGAAGGTGTAAATTGATCGAATGTTAAAACCTATGGAGTCTAAAATGTTGTTTGCCTTAATTATTATTATTATTTTTTCTTTCAGGTTCTTGGATTTTCTCCATACAGATCCAGTGAGTGAGTATATGTTGGGTCCCGTAAATATAAAGTTAAATTGTTTGAAAATAATTTTGGTCTTTTCTTGATTTATTTTTTGGGAAATTGGGCAAAATACTATCCATTTGCAAATTTATTGGCCAAATACTACCCAGTACCCACCCTATAATTATTTATCAATTACTGTCTATAAATACTGTCTTATTGCCTGTATAACACTTTCCTCTCTCAGCTCTCTTTTTGCTCTCTCCTTCTCTCAGCTCTCTCTCTCTCTCTCTCTCTCTCTCTCTCTCTCTCTCTCTCTCTCCCCATGTCTGGTTTTGGGTCCTTTGATTTCCACCTAAAATCCCATTTCAATCCCTTCAGTTCTTTTTTATTTTGGGCCTTTCTTTTGTGATTTTGTTCTTATGCTGTAAGAAGAGGAAGAGGAAGAGCTCCTCTTGGGTCTTTTCTGCAGAACCTGGTGGCTTGGCTGTTAAGGTCGCAGCTGGAGGTCGACGATGGAGTTGAGCTTCGAGGTGGGTTTCACGATTCAGAAGAAAAATTATATGAACATATATTCGTATTAAATTACAGTAACACATCAATGTAACACAGAGCAAGAAAATTGATTAGGACAAGTTTGGTGCTTTGGTTGAGCAGAGGAATTGAAAACAGAGCAAATAAAGCACATTTATTATCAGGAGCACCAGTAGAAATTTTTTTTTTGTTTTGGGCTTTTTACCGTGTACTAAAATGAAGAGAAAATAAAATAAAGTTAAAACGTGTTGTGGTTTGGCAGAACGAAGTGATCAAGCCAAGAATAAATGGGGTGCTAGACATCACATCATGAAGGTATGCCTCAAGGCAAAGACAGTTGGAAGGCTGGTGTTTAGAACCGTGAATGTCGAAGAGCACCAGAAGCCAACTGGAGCGATGTTGAATTTTGCCGCTCTGTCAAAATGACTGGTTGGGTAAGCAATTAAACACATGAAGGGATTGAAATGGGATTTTAGGTGGAAATCAAAAGACCCAAAAACAGACATAGAGAATCATCAATGAAGAGGCATGAAACAATCATCAAGTAACCAAATTCATTCCAAGAAAGGGTAAACAAACCTATTGCTATTGGTTGAGTGCTTGAGTTTGATTTGCAAGAAACAACAGAGAAAATAAACTTTGAGAGCTGAGAGAGAGAGAGAGAGAGAGCTGAGAGAGAAAAGGGATAGTATTTTCCTCAATTTCCCTTGTTTTTTGTTTGTTAATGGTAGATATATTCATTTTAAAGCCTACATGCATGCATGCAGTGTATGATTAATTTGAAAGTAGGTACTGGAGTCAAAGTTCAAAGATATATTTCTTCCTCTACTTCTCTCCAAACTTGTGGTGGGTCTCACTCCTCTAATTTTATCAAACAAATTATCAGCTTAAATAAGTCAAAATTATTAAATAAAATAACAAAGAAAAAAATAAACGAAGTTTCTATTCTTTGAGAACAAAAATATCTAGAATCAGAGGTCGTGAGTCAATTCTAAGATTATGTAATTGTAGAACTGACTCAGTCCATATGCCATGATTTTCCATATTCTAAGATTCTAAATTATATAATTTCAAAATAGGGTAGAGTACGACATATGTACATATACACTACGAGACAGGGGTACCGACAATTTGCATAAATTAATTCAAACTAATGGTTTTGAACAAATAAATAAACATTACATGCATAGAACAAATATGAATTTCAGTAAAAGTAAAAAGTAACAAATTAGATAAATAGATTATTAGTTGAGGTTTGCAAATCCAAGAGTTGGAATATTTCTATACAGAAAATTCACTATTATATCAAATATAGGAGCCTAAATTATATATAAAAAAACCTATATAAAATGGACTTTCTAAACACACCCAAAGCTCATTTACAACATAGCAAAAAGACTTTTAACTTCTTTTAAATTATAAAATTGCCATTGATTTCTTAAAACAAAACCAACCCCAAAACCTCATTAAAAAAAACCCAAAACACTCAATAGGACATCGAAGTAATTTAATAATCAAAATAAAATTCAATAGGGTCAGCAGTCATTTTTTGGATTTGTTTATAGAAATTAAATGGTGTAGGGTTTATCTATATTATTAGTGTTAAGAATGAGTATATGACTAAATATCTTAATACTTTATGCTTGAATGGATCTCAAGTGAACAATTCAAAGTAAGACCCTTTTTAGTCTTTTGGACTGGCATGAAGGGAAACTACTAAGACATAACCATGAAATTAAAGGGGTACTTCTCAATTACCAATTCCAATCTTCTGGTGCTAGCAAGAGCAAGTCAACAGAAGTTAAACACTACTCAAATGTAATTTCATTTTCATCAATTTACAATAAAACCCTGACGTTATGTTCCAGAATATTATTGAATTTCAGGGGCCACAAGTATCAATTTGTTTGGTTCACTTGTCTTTTTCTTTTCTGGTTCGCCATACATGGAAACTAGACTTTAGAAGTTAGAACAAAATGTATATTGATTAATTCCAAAATGTTGACCTAGGACCAAAGAAGAGGGAAGAAGGAATAAAATTTCTATTGACTGAGTAAAAAAATATGACAGAATTCTTGTGCATATAAATAGGACGAGAGATACTTGCAGACATTCTTAAAAAATATACAGGTTCGAGTCATAATATTTGTGTTGTGTGTGTGAGTTTAGTATATTATTGCCCCTCTCGATAGGAAAGGTCCTCCAAAAAAATGTCTGGGTTTGCTCCTCTTTTTTATTTCTTGATCACAGTTTTAGTGTTGAGGGAAGGAATGACATTTGGAAGAGCCAATAAACCATCCAGAATGGGCATAATAGGTGCAATTATAGATAACAGTTCAAGAATTGGCAAAGAAGAGAGAGTGGCAATTGAAATGGCAGTTGAGGATTTTCATGCCACTGGAAATCAGAGTTTGGCTCTGCACATAAGAAACTCTCAGAGGGAGGACCCCTTGCAGGCAGCACTTGCAGGTAGGCGTTTTCCCTTCCTAATAAATTGAGCTATATGTCTATGGTTTAAGCATAAGTTTTATATATGTTTATCTGGTCTAACTATCTGGTAATTATGAATTCAGCCATTTTTTTTATGTCTGCATTTTATTTTTCCCTCTTATTTGGTCTTAAATTTTTTGGCTTGAAAAATTCATAATAAGGTAAATAGTCGACTGCTATAGTTTCTATAAGTGCTTTTCTCCAAGGCAATATTTATAATGAAAAGCAGCTTACATTTCCAATGCCATTGCACTTATCAAATCTGCAGCTAGAGATCTTATAGATGGGCAGCAAGTGCAAGCCATTCTAGGACCACATACATGGGAAGAGACATCATTAGTAGTTAAGGTTGGCAGTGAGACTCATACCCCAATTGTCTCTTTTGCTGAGGCTACTCCAAAGTGGGCAACTGAGCTGTGGCCTTTTCTAGTTCAAGCTTCTCGTGACCGGTTGAAACAAATGGAAGCAATAGCTGATATAGTTCAGTCTTGGGAATGGCATCGAGTCACTGTAATTTACCAAGACAGAGATTCTTTGGCCAATGAAGTTTTACCTCATCTCTCTTATGCCTTGAGACAAGTTGGTGCAGAAATTGGCCATCTTGTAGCTCTCCAACCTTTTGCTTCTTCTTCATTAGTCGAAGAGCTTGAGAAGATTCAAAAGGACCAATGTAGAGTCTTTGTTGTGCATTTGTCTGTGCCATTGGCCGCACAACTTTTTGAAAAGGCAAAAGAAATGAAGATGATGGAAAAGGATTATGTATGGATCACCACTGATCCTATAACAAGCCTTGTCAACTCCTTTAATGCCTCCAGCATCTCCTCAATGCAAGGGATCATCGGAGTCAAGAGCTACTTCCCCGAAAGTGGAAACCAATTTCAGGATTTTTACCATAGGTTTTGTAGAAGGTTTAGATCAGAACATCCTGAAGAGGTTAACAATGAGCCTGGCATCTTTGCTGCTCAGGCTTACGATGCTGCAAGGGCAGTGGCTCTAGCTTCGACAGAAGGCAGAAAAGGGAGGAAACTGTTAGCAAAACTTCTGAGAAGTGATTTTCATGGCTTAAGTGAAAGAATCAAGTTCACTGACCAAAATTTAGCTCCACAACATGTATTTCAAATCATCAATGTGGTGGGAAGGAGTTACAGAGAGCTAGGATACTGGTCAGATGGAATAAGATTCTCGAAGACTATTGGTGAAGGTGCTAGTAACTACCCTTCTATGAAAGATTTGGGGCCAGTGGTTTGGCCAGGAGAGCCTTGGTATACTCCAAAAGGGTGGACTGTACCAATACAAGCAACCGTGCTGAGAATTGGGGTGCCAAACAGATCAACATTCAAAGAGTATGTAAATGTGGAAAAAGATACATTGGGAAATAACTTATCTTTCACTGGACTTGCAATAGATCTCTTCAAAGCGACCCTAGAGGAGCTGCCTTACCATTTGCCGTATGAGTTATGTCTTTTCAATGGCACATATGATTCTTTAGTGGAGCAAATCCATTTACATGTAAGAGATTTACTTACTTTCTAGTCTCTTAACTTGATTAATTAGTTCCAAACTGCACATTTATATTTCAAGCACCAAGAGACTAATCTATCTTGACTTGGAACTGTCCATGCATTGGATCAGAACTTTGATGCTGTAGTTGGTGATGTAGCAATCGTGTCCCAGCGGTATGAGCATGCAGAATTCACACACCCCTATACCGAAGCAGGATTGGTAATGATAGTTCCAGTCATGTCCAAAACATGCAATAAAGCATGGTTATTCATGAGGCCTTTCACAAAACCCATGTGGGCACTTATAGGAGCCATCAATGTCTACAATGGCTTTGTTGTATGGTTGATAGAACGAAACCACTGCTCCGCACTCAAAGGTTCTGTGCTAAATCAAATAGGAAGCTTGATTTGGCTATCCTTCACCACTCTCTTCTCTTTACATGGTAAACAATATAAAAGTTCACATTCAAATTTTTTCCTTTGAAAATTGGATTAGATTATATATGTACCTAATATCATTTACTCCATTTGACTGAGCAAAGGAGGTAAGCTGCATAGCAATTTGTCACGGATGACAATGGTTGTCTGGCTATTTATGGCACTAATCATCACACAGACATATACGGCTAACCTTGCGAGCATGCTCACTGTCCAGCAGCTTGAACCCACCATAACAGATGTTGACGCTTTGCGGCAAAGCAATGCCATGGTTGGTTATTGTAAGGGTTCCTTTGTTTCAGCCTATCTAAAGGAAGTCTTGGGCATCCACAACATTAAGCAGTTTGACTCCATAGAAGAATATGCTGAAGCCCTCAAAAGCGAAGTAATTGCTGCTGCTTTTCTTGAAGCCCCTCTGGCCAAAATTTTCCTTCGAAAGTACTGCAAAGTCTTCATGGAAGCTGGACCAACATTCAAAGTTGGAGGATTTGGATTTGTAATGCTCTAGCCTCTCGCGAAGTTAATCTCCTTACTCTTCGATTAAACTATTATTTAAGTAAGAGATTGTGATAAACTTTTATGTCACAGGTATTTCCAAGAGGCTCTCCATTGGTTCCTGAGGTAACTGAAGCAATGCTAAAGGTAACCGAAAGTGGTAAGCTTCGAGATTTAGAGAACAACATGCTGGCCTCTCTGAAGTGCTTGGACTCGGATGCACAAAAAGACAGTGGTGATCCCAGTCTAAGCCCCAACAGCTTTTGGCTACTATTCGTATTCACGGGAGGGACATCAACAACTGCTCTTGTGGTTTACACTTTTTTCATTCATAAATCAGTGGCTGAATGCAAAACCAACTGGACGATAATGTTAGCCGCAATGAAAAAATGGGGCAATCCAAACAGGAGGTTCTCCAGAAGAGACAGTGATATCAATGCAGAAACTCCTGCAATTGCTCCGAATGCCAGTGCCTTGCAGGCTCAAGTCTAAACATTAAAGAACATTATTGGACACAAAAGCAGCTAACCAAAAAGATTTTTTCCACTTACATTACGATAGATGACATAGAGTATAAGTCTTACCATATTGTACAAAGGAAAGCACAGTAAAGAGGACACTAAACCACTGTATCAAATACATAGAATTGGCCAACTGTTCGATCGGTTAGGACCATTACCTGCCAGTGAGGGTTATTTGGAACCGCTGGCTCATCATTCAATACCGTAGTTTAAACACTGTAACATAGTTCCGCGAAAAGAAAGAATCTTCAGTTAAGACTATAATTTGTGTATCTTCTATTGTTTTACAATTCCAGTGAGTTGTGTTATGCTTCAAATCAAACTGGTTGCAGAATTGTTACTTCAGAGGTCTGATTCTGAAACATTGTACAGACTGTTAAAAGTTACGCTCGCATCCAAATCTCAAGCACCAGGAGAGGACTCTCATCATTTTCTTCACCATGGCCTCATCATTTGAATTTACTTCATCATAGTAAATTCTACTAGGATGAAGTAAAAAAAAATTTGGTGCCAACACTTACATGTGCAAGAATGTTAAGCTTGTGCCACTGCCTCAAGTACTAGAACACCAAAGCTAAAAACATTAGATTTCAATGAGAAGATCCCATCAATTTCATACTACGGAGACATGTAACCGCTGCCAAAGCACTTCATGAATTGAGGAAATTGTTGTCAATTGAAGTGGTGTAGTAATCTATAAGCTGTATATTTTATATATATGGCCCTTACAATATCCCAATCACTCTATTTGCATTTGCTTCAGTTTCATCTCCTCCGAAATTCAAAACTTTGAATTCATTGTGTAATATCTAGCAATACATATCTACCCTTTAGATCATCACAGTGAATAATCCTCAGTCCAGACACATTTTTATGAAGATAAAAGTAACCTTCTAGCAATCCCATCGTTAACGTGAAAGCACTTAGGCCCATCAAGAATTATTTTCGCTGTTGCTAAATTTCAAATTACATGCACGTACGCAAATTTATTATTTGTTAAGGACTTTCTTGTGCAAAATTGAGTTCTCATTTGGTGGATTTTGGAACACGCATCTAGAAAATCTGGATGGTGACTTGACAATTCAACTTGAACTTAAATGGACACAACGTATGAGACCAAATGAACCAATATTCAAACCATGAACCAATATGGTCCCCACCTTAACCACCTAGGAGAGAAAAAACCCAATGAACCTCTAGGTGTGGGGTTTTATCACAAAAGGCCCCAGTGCAATTAGAAGTGGACTACCTATATTTAAACTGTAGATTATTATTGTATTATCCGATGTGGGACTTACACATCATGACTTGTATGAGCCACCTACACCAACAGACCATCCCCAAAAAATCCGAAAAGAATTCAAAACTGTTAGGAAAAAACAATAAATATCTTATATTATAGGATCACTATATTAATGCACGATTATGAAATGTAGATAGTAGCAAAATACGAAAATTGTATAAATTAAATACAGAATACTAACTTTTATTGAAGATAGAGGCTTGCAGATTCGCAATGTCCTAAAGACAAAATTTCGCCTCTCCTCAGTGCTTGAAGTTCAACAGACGTCTATCTCCCAGGACTTGTGGTTTTATAACACAATTGCACCCCTTCAAAATAGCAGTTAGTATCAGTTATATCTGTTCAAATTCAAACGAAAATATAAGACTTTTGGTTTGAATTTAACTTATGCTAAAAGAAATCCAAAAAATATTTTATTTTATTTTATTTTATTTTCGAACTGGGTGTATTTCTTTTATTTTTCAGAGACCCCAAGGCCCAAGTCTTGATTATTTAAATATTATTATTAATCAAGCAAGCCAACCATGTATAACATTCACTACCAAGCCCATTAGCCCACCAATCTTATTTAATTGGTGTTAAGGTTTCATGCTTATAAAGCATGTAGAACCTTTTGTTTCCTTGTGAGACATTTGCTTTCAAACTTCCAACAAAAACAACTCTTAATTTAATTATTCTCAAATTTGACCGAAAAAGTTAATCACTTCATTAGTCATATTTGAGGAAAGTAATTAGGATAATCGAACATTCTTCAACGCATTCCATCATTCAAGACTCTGCAGAATGAGGAATTAATCTAATGTTTTCTCTAATTGCAAGAACTGATGACTCAGAATAATTCAAAGACCATTGTTTTCAAAACTTTAGATCAATCAACACGTATAGACCATAGACTGCAATGTGCATACCAACATTAATTCCCATATAATTGAACGCGGTCTTGATATGTAACGTAAGCTTTCACCTAGTCTTCATAAAACAGTCCAAATAACATGAAGTTAAATGGCAAAGGCAACGCTACTTGTTTAAACATAAAAAAGATTATGAGTACATGTCAAAGTAGCATTTAATTAATTTTCATGTACTTAAGTGGATGGTGAACGAGAGATATGTACATATGAATCTTACTAGGAAATTGATCAAGTGGATCGTTCCACGTTTCGCCCTACTATGGATGATCGGTGTTGACTTGCTTGGAATCTAAGTAATGAAGACAATGTCAACATGAATGTAGTTAACAATTACTGAAAGATGTCTTGAAAAATGTCTCAAGTACGAATCCTCATCCCCAATTGATAAAATATATATATATATTAACCGATAATCCCCGTCATGATATGCATTGGACACTATACATTTTTCTGTCTCATTTCCTCTTCTTTTACCATCACATTTTTGTTTTTATCTTGTTCATGCCATGACCAGAAAGTAAACAATAACCTGAACACCATACATTCTGCAGATAGATTGGTCCTTACTGATCAAAAGCAAAAGACACAAAAACCAATTCTTTGCATTGACTAGGACCCCAGTAAAGAAGGGAAACATTTTAATACTGAGTAAAAAATATCAGACCAACTTCATTTCTTATAAATAGGAAAAGAATCAAAGCCATTGTTTGCCATATTTGCACAAAATGGACAAGTTTACTGCTTTGCTGTCCCTCATTGCCTTTGTTTTACTATTTAAACAAGGGCTGAGAGTTAATGGAATTACTGATACAACAAAGGATGACCACTTCATTTGCATACTAGGTGCCATTGTAGATACCAGTTCTCGAATTGGGAAAGAAGAGAGCGTAGCAATTCAGATAGCAGTGGAGGATTTCTTCAAAAAAAGCAATCACAGTTTGGTTTTGAACATCAGAAACTCTAAAGGGGAGCCTTGGCAGGCAGCTCTTGCAGGTACTTTTTTTTTTCTCCACCTCTAATTCAACTGTGTTCTTAGCAGAAGTTCGTTATATTTTATCTAAGAAGTGCATAGAGTAATCAATCAAAGATAGCTTACTATATCAGGTTCTTTCAAACTCCCCACCACTGTCTGGTTGTCTTCCTCTTTTAGCCAACAAGGATATCTCATAGGATGCATGATGTAGCACTATTTCTATAACTAGTTCTTTGAATTTTTGTTTGCAAAAGCAAGAACTACATATATGCAATTCCAATGTCCCATACATTTATTAAAATGCAGCAAGAGATCTTATTGATACACATCAAGTGCAAGCAATTCTTGGTCCACAAACATGGGAAGAGGTATCGTTAGTCGCTGAGATTGGAAGTCAGAGTCATATTCCGATTGTTTCTTTAGCTGATGCAACTCCAAAGTGGGAAACCGAGCTGTGGACCTTTCTAGTTCAAGCTTCACCAAACCAATTGAAGCAAATGGAAACCATAGCAGCAACGATTCAATCTTGGGAGTGGCATCAAGTCACCATAATATACGAAGAAAAAGACTTTTCAGCTACAGCAGTTTTAAGCCATCTCTCTAATGCTCTTAAAGAAGTAGGCGCAGAAATTAGCCATTATGTAGCTCTCCCATCTTTAGCTTCATCATGGTCAGAGCATCTTGAGGGACTTAAGATCAGCCAAAATAGAGTGTTTGTGGTCTACTTGTCCTTGCCATTGGCAATTGAGCTGTTTGAGAAGGCAAAAAGAATGAAAATGATGGAAAAGGATTGTGTATGGATCATTACTGATCCCTTTGCAAGCCTTGTCCTTTCCTTGAATGCCTCTACCATCTCCTCAATGCAAGGAATTGTTGGAGAAAGAGCTACATCCCCAAAAATGAACCCCATTTTCTGGATTTTCACGATAAATTTTGTCAGCGGTTTAGTTTAGAGTATCCTGATGAAGAGGAAAACCATGAACCAAGCATTTTTGCAGCGCAGGCTTATGATGCAGCATGGACTGTGGCTCTTGCAATGAGGGAGAAGAAGCAGGGAAGGCAGCAAATTTTATCAAACATTTTGCAAAGTGATTTTCATGGCTTAAGCAGGAAGGTTCAGTTTACTGACCAAACGATATATTTAGGACATACATTTCAGATCATCATGTGATGGGAGAGAACTACATAGAACTTGGTTTCTGGTCAGATGGACTAGGTTTCTCGCAGACTATTGGTGAAAGTGCTACCTTTAGCTCTTCCATGAATGTCTTGGGGCAAGTATTTTGGCCAGGGAGGGCTCGGGATACGCCAAAAGGATGGAGTCCACCAACAAGTGTAACACCCCGACCCCAAATTTATCCCATGTTTTAATTTATTTAAATGGAATTGAGAAATTACCCGTGGGATAGGGGTATTTTAGTCATTTTCTTATCCGGAAGGAATTTGGGGATTCCGGTTGAACCGTTGCGTAGAGCACGGTGAGATGAGTCCGTAGACACGTAGTGGGCTCGAATCGGAGTTGTAACGAGAGAGATATGATCAAATGAAGCTCAGTGGCATAATCGTAAATATTTGGAAAATGGATTTTTGGTTAAAAAGACGGAATTGCCCCCGTCTCTCTCTCTCTCTCTCTCTCCCGCGCGTCTCCCTCTCTCTCCTCGGTTTCGCGACGGCTGGAACAGCCGGCCACGTTTTGGCCGGCCGCGCTCTTGTCCGGCCACCAAAGTCGATGGGGCCGGTACCAAAATGACAGGGCCGCCGCCCTCTTCCTACCCCAGCCGGGT